TTGCGGAGCACCGCGGGCTCCTCCCGGGCCCGGGAGCATGGGGGTGAGTTGGTGACACGGGGCAACTGGGGCAGCTGGGGTGCCGGATCTCCGAGGTTCAGCCGTGCTGTCACGCTCAGTAGGGCGGCGACGCCAGGAAGACGTGCTCTCTTCTAGGCAGGGCAAGGAGCAGCACTGGAGTCACGGGTAGCGCCTGGGTTTCTCTCTGCCCTTGGCTATAAGACCTTCTGCCCAGCGTTACCAGCCCTTCTTCACACTCCGGCCTCCAGCGTTTTAGCCCCACTGCAGACCATTCGGGGTGAGATGCCAGACTTTTCCATATGCTAGAGACACAGTGATCTGTTTCCGCTCCTGGATAAGTCACGAGAGAGCGAGGTACCCATTGTGCAAGCCACAGCTTTTGCTTTCTCTTAAAGTGCACTTCTTGGTGGTCGGCTCAGATAGATAAACTCACCAGGCAGGGCCCTGGCTGACTCTGGAGACATGCTCATGCCTCCGGACAAGGCCTACCTCAGCCTGCCGCGACAGCAGCTCCTGCCCCGTGCCTCTGCCGCTCCTCTGCCAGAGGTGCGCAGTGGCTCAGAAAGCCTTACAAAGAAAATGGGGCTGCGAAGGAGCGAGCACTCCCTGTAGCACAGCACAGTGCTTCATTCGTCACCATAGCGAAGGCAAAGCAAACAGCAGTTTCCTTAGAAACCTCCCTCAGGCATGATGGCGTGTTGACTTTAAGGGAGGGAGATGATCACATCTAAGGGACCTTGGCTCTGGGCTAGGCCACATGTCCCTCTGAAGTGGCCTTAGGCACCATTTCTGGCTCCTGTGCACCTGCCTTAAAGACAGGCCTACAGGTCTGTACAGTCCCTCCTCCTATTCATAACCACACGAGCTTGTCCAGGGCAAAGGGGGCAATTGGTCCTGGGGAAATGAACCTGAAGAAGGTGCTGCCCAGTGGTGCACCCTCGTGGCAATGAAGCCAACCACATACCGGGCTGTATGAGTAAGAGTGTAGCCAGCAAGGTGAGGGAAGTGGTTTTTCCCCTTTACTCAGCACTCGTGAGGCCCTATCTGTTGTAATATGCCTAGTTTCAGCCTCCCACTACAACAGAGATATTGATCAAGGGCTACTCAGAGTAGCCCTTGAGTGTGCAGAGCTGTGGGGGGACACCCTGCAATAAGGGAATGATAAGAACTGGGAGCCATCCCCTGCATTGACTGGGTGCACAGGGTTGCCCCAGCCTCTCCTCCAGCCCCAGTTATTCATGCACAGCTGGAGTCACAGTTTGACACTGCTGTGTGTTGAATAGCAAAACAGGGAGGGAAATGGATGGCAGTGGAGGAAATGTCTGAGGCAGGGAGGGAGGCCGGGGACCGGCTCCCAGCAACCCATCACTTGTACCAGGGCAGTCCAGGGGAGATGCAGTTTTTCAGCACAGGTTTCTGAAAAGGCCAGTGATGCCTGTGCGGATTGACAGTTTTTCTCAAGCAGGGCTCCCACCCCTCAACCTCAGGCATGCAGTAAGGATAGTAAGGGAAGATTGTGGTGTCCTTGTTAGCCTGTGTCTCCTATTTCTCTCTCTGTCTTCTCCCTCAAGGTCATGGCCTTGTTTCATTCCCAGTAGGCCTGTCCCCTTTGCTAGCTGCTCTGAAGACATTTATTTATTTTTAAAGAGTGGAGGTGGGTGATGGAAATGTGTAGCGGCGGATCAGTGGATTCAGAGTGAGGGATGCCCTGCACTGCTCTGCTCACAGCCCTGGCAGACTCACAGCACACGTGCCTGCAAGACTGAAGGTCCTGCTCATGCTCCCATCCAAGTGGTGACTCTGCCCCTCTGTGTCTCCATCTTATGACACCTCTGACCTGGAGTTAGGCTGAGTTTATCCTGGTTCCTAATAATAATCCTGGCTAGTCTCATCACCGTGGTGTGCTCTGTGCAGTCCCTTCTCCTGTGCCTGTGCTTTTCTGCCCCCCTGGACAGCCCTGAGCTCCTTGCACAAGGAGAAGTGGGATGAGGAATCAGAGGGCCCTGCAGGCAGTGGACTTGTAGCCAGCCCTACCACCAAAGGAGCTGTTTTTAGGAGAGAAGAAGGGCACAGGCCTTACTGGGTATACTGGCCTTCTGCTGAGGGGAAGATGTGAAGAAAAAACGGCATGAAAAATTAGCCAACCTCCCTGCTCCCTCCACTCACTTGTTTCTTTCAGGTGCGGCTGCACTAATTTAGGATTTCCCCCAGATGTGTGTGATTAAGTAGCACTCCCTGTTGGGTTAAGCACATTGTTACAAGGAAACAGGAAACTGCTGCTTTTCCAAAAGTATCTCCTGAGGTAAGAAACCAGCAGGCTATCTGTGCTGCTTGAAAGAACAGCACCACCCCTTACCAGGCAGCCAGACCTGAGTTCCAATGAAATTTGTGTTTAATTTGGCAATTAAATCAGCCCTCACCCAAAGCTGCCTTAAAATTAAACAAGTGCAAAATAATAACTCTGTACAGATCAGTATTTGTCTCATTACAGCAGTTTAGAAAATTACTATAAGTGGCACTGTAAATCTGTGGTATGGGGAAGGAGAATGTCACTCTTGGCCAAGCAGCATACACATTAACAATCAATTCATCATGTAAATCACCGTGCCCTCCACAGACGGGAGTGCATGTCGTATCCCTTATCCCTCCCAGCTCTGCTGCCTCTGGGGCCAAGGTGCATTTGGAAAGCACTTTCCCGCTGTGCCAGTCGGTTAAGGAGATGGGAAGTGTCTGGGATCCACACAGGTGGAAAACATACCGCTTAGTTTTGTTTCTCTTACTCAGGTGGCAGCAAGCTTCTACCAAGCTCGCAGCACTGGCAGCTGAACAGTTTTGGAGGCAGTGACATCTGACAGTGGGGAAGGCCTGGGTCTGGCCTATTCTAGACCAAACACTATGCTTGAGGAAGGGGGTGTGCGCTTGCCAGGAGCATATGGATATGTGGGAGCATGACATGCCATGTAAATACTCATGGGCGTGGAAGTCTCTGTGAATTGGGAGATTATAGCCTCATATCATCAGGAGTTTCTTTTACCATTTTGTATTGATATTGTGTCTACTTTCAAATAAAAATTACATATGCTCAGAGCATCAGAAGGCTGTGTTTTTACAAGCTGAATTAAATACATATGAGCTTCTTTCCTATTCTTGAGTACGCAAGTGCCCCAAAAGACACAAGCAAATAAAGAGAGGAATATAGACCCCAGCAGACACAGGCACATGCAGTACCCAAAAGATCACATCCTTCCCTGCAGTTGTTTGGTGTGGCCTCAGTTCAGATTGCTTCATTTTTTTAAGCAGTACTAACATGGAATCACCTTTCCCTTCTCAGGAAAAGTAGCATGGAGAAGCTACTAACCCTCTTCTGCAGCTGTGTACGCTCTACCTTCCAGGAGCTGATCTCTGGCCCACAGGGACAGCTCTGAAGAAGCCAGCATCGCTTTCCCATTTGGCCCCCCACTGCAGCCTCCTGCATCACTCACTCTGATCCATGGAGGGTTGTTGCTGATTCTCACCCCACCAACCATTGCAGCGTTCACGTCTCCAAGGAAGAACACGAGTTTCCATTAGTCAGGCTGTTCAGGTTTTTTAATTAAATATTACATATACAAAGTACTAAATAAATATATAACTGTGACAGATACCAATGTATCATACGCACCCATGTGGAGAGCTCAGAGTATTTATATATAAAATATATATATTTATATATAAAATATAATGGAAAGCTATTTACCAAATGCAAAGCAGACTCCAGAATGATTCAACTCTGCAGACTCATTGCTCATTGCCAGGGTGCAGTCCACACAACACACACGCACACACATGCACGCTCGCTCGTGTGAGGGGACACATAAGAGGGCAATAAAGGAGGGGGGTTAGCACCCAGGAGTCGGTTAGGAGGGAGGCTGATGCTAGAGAGCAAATCAGGAAATGAAGGAAAATGGGTCAGGGAAATAGCTGTAGATGTTTTTATGTCTTTAAATTTTCTTCCCCCTTTCCATCGTGTTCTCTAGCTGCTGGATCTAAATGAGGAAGGCATTGGAAGTGGAAATGAAGAAGAAAAAAAGAATCTTCTTTCCCTCTCTCTCCTACTGAGCTGTGGAGGGGAGCAAGGCAGAGCTGGGAGTGGGAGGCAAGAGAAATAACATGCCTTCACTTGGCAGGATCATGGGCGTCCTTGCTAGTATCCGAGATGTGCTCACAGGGGGGCAGGAGTGGAGACGTGTAAGGCTGATGCTCCTGCTCCTTCCCGCTCTCCAGTCAGACGTGGGCACAGCGGCAGTGGCGTGGGCTGATCAAAGCTGCATCCTGGCTGGGGCAGAGCAGGTCACTGT